CACCGAGAACGGCGGCGATGAAAGCAACAAGGCCCCTGAGAACGGTGGCGATGATAGCAGCAAGGATGCGGAGATGGGGGGGACCCCCAAGGATCCCCCCCCAACCTGAACTCCTTCGTCAACAGTATGTTTATCTATCTTGTTTGTTATATGCCATTATTCTAACATTTGACTTAGATGTCTCTGAGGGTACCAAGGCTGTGACCAAGTACTCTTCCTCGACGAAATAAGTGCATTGATGGACGTTTTTTGGGGGGGGTTGTTTTTCGTTTGCGGTTTTTTTTTTCTCTTTTTTTTTTCCTAAAAAAAAAATGAATAAATAATGAGAACCTCCGCCTTCGTGGCGCCGTTTATGCATATCGTGACTCTTGTATTCAAGGTGATGGCATGGTCCAGATATGGTTGTAAAGCTCACCAGATTCCCAGTAAGCTGCAAAATGTTGTTGCAGATTGACTTCAGGGGATCAGGACATAACCCACATCCAGTGCTTCCTAGTACTTATCCAGCATCTCTGGGATATATAAGACGGCTTGTTTGAGTCATATCTTAACACAACATACAGCAGTCCTCTGTTTGCATCTCTGTGACAATATCTCCAACTACCGCAGGACTCCTCAGATGACGATCCATGATAATCGTGATAGATTTGCCAAGACCATGAGAGGATGGAAGAACATATAGCTGTAGCCGGGTTATGTCTTGTCTCCCCTGGATTGAACTGAACGACGATGTTGTAACTAATACTTATGGATACTGTCACGCTTGAATCTCAACAGGTGAGGGGGCTTGAAAACGAGAAATAGACGGTTTTTTAGCTCAGGGTTTGTAAAAACTCCAGATACGTTAACAGCTACAGATTGAATTAGGAGTGAATGGGAGTGAGGCTGCATGGGCCTCGGATATCATGGTTGTGCAACAAATCAATGACCGAATATTCTTTTACGCTTTAGCACTGCTTCGGATATCTTGACAGCAGCAATGTTATTACTGACCACGAAAAGATTGCAACCCATAAAGACCTTTATGTAAGGAGTTGTTCAAACCAAATACAGAAGGGACTCCCTTGGCATCGATGGCTGCCTTGGACCGTCTGGCAAGGCAGTGCGTTTCTGACACCTATCCGACACCTGTATGTTAGAGCATCTACTGCGGTGGCCTTATATGTTAGTTCAAATCACCGTACTGCCAACAAACAGGTGGTGTGGCTCAGTGGTTAAAGCGTTTCCTTTCGGACGGCAGTCTTGTATATATGTTATTGGGTCCCCGAGAACGGTGGCGATGATAGCAACAAGGCACCCACGCCCCCTTGGAGAAGGTCCCCGGTTCGATTCCGGGCACCACCATTCTTTTTCTTGGTTATATGGTCTATTTTTTTTTGGTTATCATACATAGATGGCTTGGCTTTTTCCCATGCGCCTTGGCAGTCAGTGACAGTCAGTAGCCTACCTAAGCCAGTTTTCGAATCAAGCGGAAACCTGTGACTTTAACCACCCTGATGAAGACCACTAGAACTCTGTTGAATATGCAATCAATAATACGAATGGCGCTTGTGAGGTGTTTGATCTAAACGTATACCACATCGCTACTTGATTACTAGACCTTTTTCAAGAACCAGATTCTTGATCTGCTCCAACACTTGTTCTTAGAAACGCCAAGAAATTTAAAGACGAGCTCGCCTCTGCAGTTGGGTATGTGGACAGAATTGCGCTCATTCATCAGTCCTTAGCTTAAGAGTGTGCATTCATCAGGTCTATACTTTCTTCCATATACCCTGAATAATACTAGATCGTGATTTGAACAATAAGTAGTGTGGAGACTGGTTTCATTTGACCCTTTTTTTTCCTTTAATATGCCAGCCCTCTCTTGTCTCTCAGAGGTAACTGGTACCTAGCCAAAAATGATTTAAAAGAAGAAGCGTGCCCGACGTATGAGACTGTGGCATAGAAATAGCGAGAGGAAATTAGTATCTATATCACATATTCGTACACAACGAGACAGACTTCAATGAAGGCTATACAATCTTACCACTCTAGATCATTGAATTATTGATATGTGGTTCTTTGGTAGAAGATGGTGGGCGTACCACATATAAAATAGGAACTGAAGTCAACTCTGAAGCGCTTATGCGTCTAATGCGCGGCAATCTTGGATGCCCATTGGGTAGTGGAGTCGAACATTTCATCCTTGCTGGCGATCAGCGGAGACGCCAAGAGACATACTCGTACTTTTGCCAATCAGATCACGGGATGAGCTATTTACCATCATGGCATGCGTGTCACTGCGGAACGACAGTTGTGCGAAGAGAGCTATTTCCAGCAAATCGAAGGGAGGGGAGGTCGGAGATTTTTCCTATCTTTCAACATATCTATGGAGTAGCCACCCACCATCCAATGCAGTGATAGCCAAGGATATGGTTCAATATGCGTAATCTCGGACGCTGGTGACAGTTCTCATCTTACCCGGGCCTTCTTGCTCTACGTTCCGGAGCGCAATTAGTGTGTTACTTGGTGATAAAACAAAATAGGTCATTTTCAAGTGTCTCGGCGACACTAGGAATAGTAATTTGAGCCGCAAGCAACGTGTCCTTGATGATAGCTGTGACCTCTGGATGCTGATACTGGAGGAAGCAGAGGCGACAGACTATATGTGAGTCAGGCTGTAGACAATACTGTATGACGGGCCCGTCTTGCTCATAGCCAGGGTTTGTCGTGATTCGTGAACGGCAAAGGTTTGCGCTAACTACCTTTTGTGCTTAAGTTGCATTTGAGCGCAGCTCTTCTTATCCGTTTTCAGCATTTCAAATCATGATCAGAGTCCCCGCCATTCAATAACTCCCAGTGGGAAATGGAAATAAAGAGGAAAGGCTCATGTTTGAATAATTGTGAACTGATTCCTCAGCAACGGCTTGTTTCGCGGCTCCTATCCGTTGTGATGGATCGCGCCGCTCCTGGCAGCAACCTCTCCCCGGCAAAATATGACAGCAACCTCTCCCCAACCAAATATGACAGCAACCTCTCCCTGGCCAAATGTGAAAGACACCCTTTTGGTCCCTCTAGGACAACCGGTCGTTGCTTGTATGAAGACGGAAGATGAGGAGTCGGAAGATGTTCGATGCTGGTCCCCATGCTGTATTTTCTTAATTGGGTGGTAGCTGGTGTTCACTCAATCGAGGAGATCCCAGGACGATCGGCTCTGTCGTATTCCGCCCTCATCCTGTAACGACATGGGAGAAGAGGGGTCGAAAGATCTTCCATATTGATTCTCATGACGTGTTATGCTATCTTCGATGTTTCTATGCCGGGCTCTCTCGATGTAATGGCGACCGGTACTCACTCGATCTTGTTAGATCATTGATTGGCTAACAGGCAAACATGTTAGGGGTTCGAAAGATCTTCTATATCAGTCCTTGCATTGGGTTTCCTTCATCTGATAGCAGCTGGTACTAACTCAACTGTGGCGTGTTGTCGAGGGCAAGAGGGCTATCCTCATGTTGTATTTTCTCAACATTGTTGTTGTTGGTTCTTATGATGTGTTTCCTTAAATATGGTGGTAGTGGGTGCTCCTTAAATGGTGCTGATCTGTCGAGGGGTCGACTTGGGTATGGGGCTGGAGAACTGTGTCTGGTGCAGGACAAGAATAATAAATAAACCCAGGTACACTTCTAGTCCATGACCCACCCTTCGTTCCTGTTCTTAAGAATACAGAAACAGTTACCGAAATAACTCGTTTTCTCCCTGCCGTTTCTCCTGCTTGCGTTTCCTATCTTGCTTTGTATGAGTCTTTGATAGAATATGTTCCATAAGAGCATGTGGATTCAATGAGAATATCTGGCGTGTTGCACGGGTGAACGAGGATGAACGAGGCTCTTATCACTGTTCTCTCCCTTCTCCCTCAGAGACGGCTTGGCGATAATTCACGTACAAACGGAGCTTTGATCCCTCCTGTTGCAGGTACAAGTCGTCGGAATGATCGAGTGCTGTGAGTCAAGAATTATCAAGTGAGTGAATGTGTCGATGGGAGACGACGACAGATTCCACGAGGTCTCGGAACCACAATCCAAAGCCTGACCTGATAAGGTTCCTGGGTGTAAGTCGTCGGAATGATCGAATGTGAATGTCTCGGTGGGAATTGACGGCCATCCAGTGGGAGATGATAGGAGACTCCACGAGGACTTAGAACTACAATCCAAAACCTGGCCTGACATATAGCGAGCGTACTGGTCCCCATGTGCAAGTTGTCGCGTAAATCGACTACGATGAGTTAAGAACGACTGGATGAATGTCTCGGTGGGAGATGACAGCAGATTCCATCAGGCCTTGGGACCACAGTCCAATGCCTGACTTGACGAATGCACTGGTTCCTGAGCGGTTGTCATCTCGTACTTCTTCAATATCGTGGTGTTTGGTGCTCATTCAAGCATAATGAACTGGGGTGTGCTTAGATGACGACAAAGGACATATAGCAATCGCTTTCGTTTGAAGGTACTCTTCAGAAAGATACGCATGAAGGTCAAAAGCGGGTCGTTGTACCCTTTCCTGTGAAGGATTTCTAAAGGCGGAATATGAATGTAAACCGCTGCCTATATCATGGTTGACATAACCGAAACTTCACTTTGAGCTCACGGCAATTTGTCGACTTTTCACGTGTTTCAGGGATTTGTCACAGAAGTGATGTGCCGGGGAGAATTGAGATATGTGCGCGATAGCCTCCATAGGGCGTTTCTGTCGTTCGTTCGTTACGGACGATAGTTCTGAGTGAGGCACTTTTCAGCAAGCGTGACACAAAAGAAGGGTGCCGATTTTCTTTTCTTGTTCTTCAGGGGCGGTTCGGCGATGGCAATGGATAAGATCCTCGGTGTTCCTTATATCATGAAAGTAAAGTTCCGACCCTTCGTATGGTTTGCTTCGTATGAATGTTTAGTGATCTCAATAGAGGAAGGAGGAGGTTCAGAGTGGTGCCTGAGAATTTGGGGATATGTTGAGGGAAAGAGAAGGTCCGTTGCCATACCATTATTGGCGCCGGTAGGACATCGGAAGGCAGCTTAGTAACCATTAGCATCATCTGGAGTAGGAACTCCCACGAGTTTGTTAGGTAGGTAATGGCTATGCGTCTCGTCAAGCGCACGCCTTTCTTTGCTTGCTTCATCTCAAACGGAGACGAGATGTCGAGTAAGGCCGAGTGAATGCCTTGCACCTCCCTTGTTCCCCAGTAATCCATACATACTACCTTACCTACCTACCTTAAGTATGTAATTACTTAGGTTAAGTATTCGATTGTGAGTTTGATCGTTAGAAGGTCTCTCCCTGGTCTGGGCTGGTTTCAATGGCTCGAAGCCTTCCATCAATAACAGTGTCCATATCCATTCACCCAGAACTGTAAGTCACCCTCATATCAAGCGGCCACTATTGGCTCCCTTAATTGTTAAGTATATTGCTTGATTTATATTCACTGTTAAGACTAAAATGATAGTTCTCTAAGCTTTGTCCAGATTCGACTTCTTGAGTGATACAGTTCAATACCATAAAAGAAGCATAGGAAGAGAGGTAGTTTCTAGGACATTTGTGCTGCTGCAAACAAAAAATAACATGTTCTAGGTCAAAACCGCCGAGACTCCGCTGTCTAGCACCATATGCCTTCCCAGTAAGAAGACCATGTTGAAGTTCCTAGAGAGTACTCCGTAGCAAATTCACAGTCCGATCACATTCTCAATTTGGTTGAGATTTATCGTGCTGAAATGGATTTACTTGCAATCATTTTCTGGCCCATAATGTAAATAAATGCCACGTTGATATTAGTTAAGCAGCTGCTGGTATTGGCTCCCTCGATCATTAAGTATGTTTGTTGTTTGATGCAATTGCGTTAATTACAGAAAGGGATATAATGCTCTTCGGAACCTCATTCGACTTGACTTCCTGATTGATACGTGTCAATAGTATGATGAAGATCGGTAAAACAGGAAAAGAACCTTTATAAAACAATTCTCCCAGCATCGAGAAGATTCCATCAATAAAGAAAGGGTAAGGCCTCGAATACTTCCGATACTAGAACGAGTAGCGAGACAAAAAGGTCGAACGGGGGATTGAACCCCGGACCTCTCGCGTGTGAGGCGAGCGTGATAAACCACTACACCATTCGACCTGTTTTATTGGTGATAGCGAGACCGTGATTTAGCTACTTGAGGTATTCTTTCAAAACTGTACGAAGTTGAAACGAACTTTGGAGTATCGCGCTGTGTTGCGATTGATTCACAAGTTGAAAGCTCTCTGGACTTAGCCCCAGAGATGGTACGAATTAAGATCGAGAAAACAGAGCCATCTTTTGCTTTCCTGTGTATGCTTGTCGGCTCAGCGTACAGGAGCTGCAGGACTACATAGACATGTCAAAGTGTCAAGAAAGATTAATGAGAATACCGGTATACGTGATCGTCTCATAAGGTACCTATCTTGTGTATACATGGACACTAATTCATCTTGGGTGCCGATTCTTGGAATGGCTATCCGTCGACAGCAGTGATGGGCCATATGCTTCCACATTTAAGCATGGGTAGTCTATGAACTTTGATAGTATGGATAGTTCCGCGATAATAACTCGAACGAGCACGTGTGAACGGTATTCACACTCTTTCAATACCTCTCAAGGAACACGATCATCTTTTATCAGGTCTTTCGTAAACAGCATGAAACCTTCAACTGAAGTGGCTGTCCGAATAAGGGCGAAACTCGGGACGCCAACTAGTTGCATGATTGCCATTGCGCGTCAATCAATGATATATTCGTTTGGACTTAACGAGAACTTCTGTCGAGCCTGCGAATACCTCTCGGCCTGAATAGACCTGTACATGGTAACGAAGTATCCTAGTTCGTAAAGAGGCATAAGACTTCAGTCAGCGATTGACTGTAAGAGCCGTCGCAGATCGCTGTGAAAACAGAAGACTTAGTAAACACGCATTCTCTCATAGCGCTACATATGTTATGAAGAAGGAGATACACATATCGGTATTGCATCTAACAGTTTATAGCACAATAAGCAGACGTGATAACCACTACACCACTCGACCGGAGAGATTTTGTTGCGATCATTATGAAAACTTGCAAATATGAGGCATTTTATCAGTGGCATTTTGATATTCAGGTCGACATGTGGAGCCCGATTGCTGCGCTAAAGGCGCCACCATCCCGTCGGGCCATGTGGGGCCGCCGCCCCACGCACTCTCATTGGATGTATTTTAACCTTGTTTTCCAGCAATATCTCAGAAGGAAAGAACCAAGCGACAACAAATCACTTCAGTATGCGTCGCAATGCACTTATGAAATCATACACTGCTACTAGCTTTGGTATGATCCTTCGAAAACTTACAGAGATAAAGGTTAAGTTTGAGAATTTCGCCATCTTTCAGGAGAGACAAGGAGACGTGTAACTACTATGTACGTAAAGAAAGATCTACACAAGTGGTAAGTAACCCAGTTGAGAATATACTCGAACATGTCATGAAGAACTTGGCGCCTACATCAGAACGCTATATCACTATCGGGAGACTTTTGATTCGCAGAAATCCATTGACGCGACAGTAGGGGAGCCCATGTGCTTCCTCGCCTTCGAGCGCCGCAAATCCGTTAACCTCAACAGCAAGCTCCGGGTTGATAACTTGAAGAAGCGCCATTGGCATTGCAATCCTTCCCCAACGCCGCTCAGAGATTAAAGTTGTTCTTCCCAATGGCATTCACAAAACGTGGGGTCTTGAGCTTGGGTGCAATCTCTCCTGCCAAATAGATGATCATCATTGCTTGTCGGATGCATTCACTTGAACGTATTAAGCGACTCTACTGACCTTTGGCTGTCATTCAACTTATGGCTGTGTGTATAATAATAACAACCCTCCCCTATAGCTTATAGAGCTATGAACGAGACACTAGTCAGGGGCCAATAAATTATAATGATCGTCAAGATCACTATCAAATCAGGATTCAGTAAAGATGTATTCATCCATACTGCTAGACATCTTAAGATGGATATAGCATAGTCAAAATACAACTGATAGAAGACTATAGAACCTCGATAACTCTTGTTATTTTTTATTTCTTAGAAAAATGGCGCCTACGTGATTACAGTGGGCGTGCAAAAGTTCCGATAACTTCCTCTTCTACATTTTATATTAGATGATATAAATTACAATAAGCTCTTCTTAACTTATATAGTATTATATAATCTTATCCTAAGATGGCATATAAAGTCTTCTAAGAATAATATACTTAATATCTATTTTGTTACATATATCTGTGGTTGGCTCGCTGTTAGAGCTTTTGCACGGAACTGTACAAACATCTGTTATTTGCCGATGTACTACCAGTTGACTCAATGGCAGGAATACATAAAACTAAGCAGCTCAATGCGGCTGTCCAATCAATGACTTCAGCAGTTTCCCTCCCAGATGGAATAATGTGATGCTACTGGGCGTGTTACTCGCATAGTCTATGACGTTCCTATTGCCTGTTCGGTAAATATATGAGAATTGGTCCCTGGTTGTAAGTGACCTACGCCAGACGAACGTCATCTGGCGACACCTACCATATATATGAGCAGCGACAAAAAATCACTAAACTAACACAGAAATTATCTGTATAACACAAAATCCGTACAACAAGCATTATGTCTGATAAGGGATCAATCGGACTTGGACTGTCTAAGAGGCAGCCCTTGCTCAAAGACAAACCAACCGTTGGCGATAACCAATCCCTCCTCGCAAAGGCGACCAAAACTCACCCTAAGGGTAGCAAAGGTGATGAAAATGCAAATGTTTATTTCATCGGGACAGCTACCACTATAATTGAATGGAAAGGTTTCCGTCTCCTCACAGACCCAAACTTCCTTCACGTCGGTGATCATGTTCATCTCGGCCCTGGGGTTACTGCTCAGCGACAAACAAACCCAGCGGTTGATCTACATGAGCTGCCATCCTTAGACTGCATTCTTCTCTCCCACTACCATGAGGATCACTTCGATCGCCTGGTGGAAGATTCTCTCAACAGGGATTTCTTGATCGTCAGCACACCTCATGCGCATAAATGCTTGACGTCGAAAGACGAGCCCTTCACCAATGTCAAAGCACTTGACTTTTTTGATCATTTGAAGCTCAAATCCGAAGACTCTGAAGCTGAACAACATCGTCCGATCATCAAGGTCACCGGCATGCCAGGCAAACACGTTCCTCCTGGTCCCTTGGCTATTGCGAACGACCTCCTCGGCGCTGTTCCGCCTACCAATGGCTGGATGCTTGAGTTGGGACACCAAGATGCTGAAGATGCCGAACTCCAGACCGGCTATCGTATCTACATCTCTGGAGATACTCTTCTCGTGGACGAACTGAAGGACATTCCTAAGTGGCTCCAAGAGAAGCGCATCGATCTCATGCTTGTACACTTGGGAGGCACCACTATCCCCGGACCGTCTGCACCGCTGATTATGGTCACGATGGATGCGAAACAAGGAATTGAAATGATCAAGATGATGGATCCGGATGTTACGATTCCTATTCATTACGATGATTATGACGTCTTTCTGTCTCCTCGGAGTGACTTTGAAAAGGCTGTGAAAGAAGCAGGAATGGAAGATCGAGTTGTCATTCTCGATAGGGGTGATAGATATGAGTTTGCTGTCAGGAAGAATTAGTTACGATGGCCTTTAGCCTGGCTGATGAGTTGATCTAAGAATATATGACAGGTTCATAGGCTAAAGACATGTCTCTGGGGTGCACTCAATAAGTTTGTGATTACAAAACAAGAAGATCTCATAAATGAAGTGATAGTATTTTCTCTTTGAGCTGTGAGAACCTCAAGTATTTAAGTTTGTGTATGTACTGGAATTGGAACAGAGTCTAGATTGAGTTCAAAAACCAACATCCAAACAATGGCGACACTACCCCACTCTTCTATGGTTTTCTGCCAAGTGGTGGGACATCAACAACGTAGTTCGTTCTTCCTCCTTGATCAACCAAGCAAAACACATTCAATATGACACGATTCAGACCCTGCATAGACCTCCACGCAGGTCAAGTCAAGCAGATTGTTGGCGGGACTCTTGACAGCACATCAGCAGCGCTGCAAACAAACTACGTCTCCCAACACCCCCCTGCCCACTTTGCTCAGCTCTACCGAGACAATGAGCTTACTGGTGCACATGTCATTATGCTAGGCGCAGGCAATGACGGGCCTGCTAAAGAGGCCCTTCAAGCCTGGCCTGGAGGCCTTCAGGTTGGGGGTGGTATCAATGACAAGAACGCAAAGGAATGGATGGATGCGGGAGCGGAGAAGGTAGAGCATGGGAAACTCCTCACGTGGGTGAGAAAGCTAATTGTTTGACAGGTCATCATTACTTCGTACCTTTTTCCAGAGGGCCGGTTTAGTCAAGCGAGGCTAGATGCGGTATTGCAGGCTCTTGGTGGCGACAAGAACAAGCTTGTTATTGACCTGAGCTGCCGTCGTCGCGGAGAGGATTCTTGGTTCGTTGCTATGAACAAATGGCAAACAATCACGGATATGGAAGTCAACCAAGGTAAGCGCTGGCAGATACGTACAAGTCAATGACTCACCAGGAATAGAATCTATCAAATCACTGGAACCCTACTGCTCTGAGTTTTTAATTCATGCCGCAGATAACGAGGGTCTGCAAAAAGGAGTTGACGAGAAGCTTGTGGAACGACTATCTCAGTGGTGCTCGATTCCTGTGACTTACGCTGGAGGTGGCAGACATCTCGAGGATTTGGAGAATGTCAAGAAACTCAGTAACGGCAAAGTGGATCTTACTATCGGAAGTGCTTTAGACTGCTTTGGGGGCTCGGGTGTCAAGTTTGATGATTGCGTTGCTTGGAACAGGAAGCAAGACAACTAGAAAGAAAACAGAGCCGCTTGTTGACCTTGTTTTGACGTACAGTAGCGAGGCTGGTGCTGCTGCATGTAGTTACCGTAATGAGACACTAACACTAACTTATAAAGTCAAATGTGTGTAAGAGTGCCCAGTCAAAGAACAACAATGGTCTTTGAGAAAGCCATCGGGTAGCGTAGTGTTGTTCCATCACACCATGTTCGACATTGTTGGGGACACAAAACAAGCCCTCGGATACTCTTACGATAACCCTGACTTTA